AGGGTGTGTGGGTGGGGACTGTGAGTGCACTGGCCGGGTACCGGGGGTCTGGCAGGTACCACCAGCATCCATCGCACCACCTGTCAAGTGGGACCTTTGACAGACTCTGAATAAATGAGGAGTATGTGCATTCTTGGTCCATCTGGCTCTGACCTTCTCCAAGCCCACAGCTGCGATGTTGTCCTTGAATGTCCCCACATTTCAGTGAGTGAAAGAAGCCCAGACATCCACCGCCCAGGGAAGGACTCTGAGCTTGGCCCTAGGGGTCTCTTATGTGCCTGGGTGTTGGAGAAGACTCTCGAGAGTCCCTTGGACTGCAAGGAGATCCGACCAGTCCACCTGAAAGGAGATCAGTCCTGGGTGTTCATTGGAAGGACTGATGTTGAAGCTGAAACTCCAATACTTTGGCCACCTCATGCGAAGAGCTGACTCACTTGAAAAGACCCTGATGCTGGGAAAGATTGAGGGCAGGAGGAGAAGGGGACAACAGAGGATGAGATGGTTGGATGGCATCACCGACTCGATGGACATGGGTTTGGTCAGACTCCAGGTGTTGGTGATGGACAGGGAGGCCTGGCGTGATGCAGTTCATGGGTTTGCAAAGAGTCAGACATGACTGAGTAACTGAACTGAACTGTGCAGACAGTATCTTCGGTCAGTGTTCTCAATGAATCCTCTCAGTCAACCACTTCACAGATGGGGAGACAGAGGCTTGGAGGGGTGAAGTGACTCCATGAAGGTTACGGAGCTTGTGCTGGGAGGTCTGATCGACGCCCCATCTGGTTCCTTCTCCCAGGTGTGCACAGGTCCACAGAGCTGAGTCCCTCCCGTCCATCACAAGAGACTAGCGAAGTCCTGGGTCACCTCTGAGCTCCACAGCCTGGCTCAGCTAAACTCAGGGTTCCCAAGGGCCACATCTGGCATTTGCAATGGTTGGGAGGCCCATGCATGTATTTTGCATGGGATTTACATACTAATTGCATCTGGTTTGCATGTGTCCCTGCTGAGGACCCATCAGCACTGCACAATTTTTAAGTTGCTTCTAGGCAATTCTCAGAAGTCCATCACCCGGGCTTTACAGAGTCCGGTTCCCCTTATCTCTTGACCCTCTCTCAGACCCTCACTGTGGGGCTGCACACCAAGCCACCCCAGGTCCCGGAGAGGCCACACTTCTGCCCAGCCAGAAGGGGTCACTCAAACCCTTGCCCCTGAAATGTGTGGATTTGACAGCAACCCCTACTGATGGGGTGCCATCAAAGTGCCAGCTGGGCTTGGAGTGCATTAATGTTTACATTGATGAAAGGGCTGGACCCAGGCAGGGCCTTGCTACAAAGGTACCCCATGTGCGGGGAAGCCGAGCTATGTCAGGTGGCTGAAGGTGATGCACTTCTCCCAGTGGCAGGGGCTCATCTGTGATGGGAAGGGCTTGTGCCAGACAGCCAGCAAGTTTCAGTCCTATTTCTGTCTCTTTCAGGGGAGCTATGGGGTTAGCCAAAAACTCATTCGGGTTTTTGTGTTGCATCTTATGCAAAACCCCATACGACCTTTTTAGCCAACCCAACACATTCCAGAAAGCTTTATGAGGCTTTCAGGGAACTTATTTGGTGGGGCCTCAATAAAAAAAAGTGGGGAGCACATCCTGAGGCAGGTGGATGGAGTCCAAAAAGGGGAGAGGAACTGCCACAGATTCTGAGACCTGAGTGGAGACAGGCAAGGGATGCCAAGTACCCGCGGAACTCCTTGTGAAGAGACGCCATCTGTCAGGCTGCAGCTTCCTGGGATCCGTTTTCTCTCGTCTTCTCTGCTCCCAGGAGCAGGTTCTTCCTTTTGCCCCAGGGAGCCCACGGAGGAAGGAGCAGAAACTCCAGGAGTCTGGTAGAGGTGCCTGCTCGTGATCGCCCCCTGGACCCTCAATGCAAGACTACACGCATTCCTCTCCAGGTTTATCTTGTCATCCTGATGGCATCCTCATTCTTCCGAAGACGTGACCCATCTGTCACCAGGGGCTAATGAAAGTTGGCAAAAATCTGCTTCTGTCCACGTGTCTGGAGGTGGACTGGGGTAGACAGTGTGCGTCTGGATATGGCCGAGCACGTCCCACACAACAGAAAGCCTGATCCTGTGTGGCCCCTCCGCCCGCCTGCACCCAGGTGTGGAAACTCCAGTCGGAGTGGGGGCGGACAAGGCTAGACCGTCTGCCTTCCTCCCTGGCCTCTGGCCACCCCCCCAGGCTTCCTGTCTGGCAGATGTTCAGGGGGAGACCCCAGCCTCTGGCTGGGTAGAGCCAAGACCCTGAACATCCCCCTCATCCACGTCCTCCTGGCCTTCCAGGATGCGGCCAGTGCTGGCTCCCGAAACCGGTCCAGTTCGTTAGAGAGGAAGCGTGGTGTTTGATATCAGCCACCTGGGGAAGGGGGAAGCGGGGATTCCATCTGTGCTTTCAGCCCTGTGTTATGAAGGCTTTTCTGAGTTCAGACAAGGTCTACCTCCTCCCTCTGAGTTGTGGATCCCACATCTGGGCTGGAGGAGGGAGTGAGGAAAGCGGCGGGACCCCTTGGAAAAGGACCACAGCTTCTGGGCCAGGGAGGTGGGGAGTTGTTCCCAGAGCCAGATAGGCAGTGCTGCCAGGCGATCAGAGCCCAGCCTAGGGTTCTGCTCATCCCCCACTCAGGTGTCTTTCACTTTCTGAGAAGTGGACATTTAGTGGCTACAAGATCAAGACCGTATTATGGATCCTATGTATCTTGCCCAGCGGCATGGACATCTTTGCTAAAGGCTGGAGTACATTCGGTGGATTTGTGGTGGAGGATGAAAGGCTGTCTCAGACAGGCATCATTTGCTAGGAGCAGAAACCCACAGAAGCAGCTCAAGTTGAGGTGGGTTATAGGAAGCAGACCAGGGAAGCCCGTCACAATGGCAGCTCACCTGACTTCTCCCTGAGTACGCCGCCGCTCCACTCCACCCCATTCTTCTCCTGCAAACTCTCCGCCTCATCTCCCCCATAACTCCTGCCCATTTACGGCTACAGGATGCCCTGGGCTGTGCTCTGACTCCCCCTCAGGGGGATGAATGGCATCCCCCACAGTGGGATGAATGGCATTCCCCCCACCCCGAAATTCATGTCCATTTAGAAGCTTAGAATGGGACTTTATTTGGAAATAGGGTCTTTGCAGATATAAGTATTTAAGAGGTCAGACTGGATGTGACTGGGCACTAAACTCAATGACAGGTGTCCTCATAAGAAAAGAGCATCTAGAGACACAGAGAGACAAAGGCCATGTGAAGAAGGCCACGGGGAGACAAGAGCAGACACTGAGAGATGAGGCCACAAGCCAAAGGTGCCAAGGATGCCAGGAGCCATCAGAAGCTGCAAGAGGTAAGAAAGCATGCTTCCCTGTGGCCCTGCTGACACCTTGACTTCGGACTTCTAGCCTCTAGGATGGTGGGAGAACAGCTTTCTGTTGTTTGAAGACACTTAACCTCTGGTAATTCGTTACAGCAGCCCTGGGATACAAACAGAGCTCCACCCGGAAGCCGGATCGCCCTCAGCCTCTGTGTTTCATTCAATCTCAAAGCCCAGGAGCAAGAACACCTGGACTGCCTGGCTCAGGTGTGTGCTGCTCCCCCCCCCCACGCCCCACCCCAGCCCGGACCCGCAAGCTGGTATGGCTGGAAGAGGGCAGGGGCGCACATGTGGGCTTCAGAGCTGCCCTAGTCTAGCAAACTTGATAGCATCGCTTTTCCCAAAGGCTGTAAATTCACATCTCAAAGGTGCATTCACCTCTCCAGGTGTGCCTCAGAGTTCTGCAGCTTCTGCATACCCAGCTTTACTTGGGGAAAGGCAGAGATGGTGAGGATCACCTGGGTGAATGAAACAAAGCCAAGAATAAGCGGCGCTCTGTTGGATGACAGAATCAGGACTCAAAGGCTTCTTGCAGCTTAGCAAGCCAACAATGATGCTTAATGAGGATGACTGTCAAGGTCAACTCCTGAGTTCCAAGAGTCAATTTCACAAGGGAAATTTGGAGGGAGCCTAACAACAGCTCCTTGTGAGAAAGACCTAAAGTTTTCTTTGACTCATCACTGGAAATGAGTCAGTGCTGCGGACTAGAGGGCTAAGAGCACAAAGAGACGCAGAGCATCTTTGACTCGGCTGGAGGGGTGATAGGCTTTTGGGACTTCCTGCAGCCATACCTCAGAGATAAGACAGACTCCACCAGGAAAGGAGAAGTGCAGCCTGACCACTGGGCTGGGTTGCGGAGGGTTAGGGAGCAGAGAGGGGTTAAGATGCCTGGGGAGGGGTCAGCAGAGATATCAGATATCCTGGGCACCTCGGGACAATGAGGCTTCGGGGAGGCAGAACAAACGAACAGGGACGGTCTGGGGCCTATTCCAAGGAGGTGGCTGCGGAGGTGTTGCTGGCGCGTTCCCAAACACGGTCATCTCGGCTTTAGAGCCCTGGACAGCGGTCCCCGGGCGCGCACGGGCTTTGAAGACGAGTGTGTCCCGAGGGTGGACGGCTTTTAGCCCCGCGCCCAGGCCGGTCCCAGGGGTCTGGCTCGACTTCTCCCCGCCACCGGTGCACGCGGACGACGACGGTGGCAGATGGGTGTGTTTGGGGAGGCTCCCCCGGGGCGTAGACGACCTGCGCCCCTGCCACCCCGGGGCTGCTCCCTACTTAACCTCTCGCTCGCGGGCGTCAGCCGGGAGTTGGGGCGGGGGGCTGGCGGCGGAGAGGGGGCCGGCGGAGGAGAGCGACGCGGCCCCAAGTTTATGCTAATCCGCGCAGAGCCCGCCTCCCGCCTCCCCTCGGCGGCCCCAGGCGCGAGCAGCGCCGGCCACTCGGCGGGACGCAGCCGCCTCGAAGCGCCAGGCACCCGGGCCAGCGAGCTCCGGGGGCCGCGACCTGCGGCGGGACCCGGACGGGCGAGCGGCGAGGCGGCGGGCGGACACCCGGCGGGGGCCCCGCGCGGGGCCAGGTGGAGACCCCGGGGGCCGCGATGGGCCGCCGCCGCCTGCCGGTCTGGCTGTGCGCCTTGGCGGCGCTGCTCTCGGGGGCGCAGGCCAAGGGCACCCCGCTCCTCGCGCGGCCCGCGCCGCCGGGTGCTTCCCGCTACAGCCTCTACACGACGGGATGGCGCCCGCGGCTGCGCCCGGGGCCGCACAAGTAAGCGCGGGCCGCGCCGCGGGCGGGAAGCGGGAGGGCTGGGCCCCGGGCGGCGCTCCCACCTGCCCCGGGCCGCGCGCGCGGGGGCGCAGGGCACCCCAGGGCGAGCCCCCGCCCGGCCGCGCGCCCCACGCTCCGGGGGGCTGCGGGGCTGGTGAAGGAAAATAAGCCGAGGGGGCCTGGCGCGGCGGCTGGGGTCCTGGCAGTGCCCGCGGAAACCTTTCCAGCGAAGTAACATTTTCCAGCTGCGCTGTGTGCAGACTCCGGGCGCAGTGGACCAGGTGGAGGGAGCGGAGGGAGGGCGGACGGTCCGCGCGCGCGGAGCACGCGGGGCCACCCCCATCCCGCGCCGGGGCCTCTCCTCTCTCCCGCTGCCCGGCCAGGTAGGAGATGGAGCCGTGCGCCCTGCGGCTCGCCCCCTGCCGCGGTCAGCCTGGACCCGCGCAGCCCTGGAGGAAGCCCCCATGTGGCTGGGCCGCAGAGCTGGTCAGGGGGCCCCTGGGTCCTGGGCCTGCGTTGTGGCTCCAGAGATCTATGGGGTCCAGCCCGCAGGTGGTTGGCGTCTGCCAGGCAGCGGCCTCCCCTGCCACAGCGTCTGGTCTTGAGTAGTTTCAGGTGAGTTAGGGGCTGTGCCTGGGGATGCTCGCTGAATGTGAGCCCCCGCTGACTTTGAGCGCTATTATAGGAGGAGCACAGCCAGCCAGCCCACGGCTGACCCTCGGTAGGCCTGGGCACATTAGTGCCGGCTTCCTGGAGCAGGTGGTACGAAAAGTGATCTGAGAGCAGGGAACCGGGAGCTAAGGTAGGGGCGGGAAAACTCCAAGGTGGGATGTATTTCCCAGGAGTCAGTCGGGAGGAAAGGTGAGAAGTGTGGCCTCAAAGGCACCAAGTTGCGACCTCAGAAGCTTCAATGCCAAGATGAGGAGCGAAGAGCCAGTGAAGGAGTTGGAGAGGGGTGGGGAGTGTGGCACGGGAAACCCAGGGTGGGCCTCTTCCCCAGGCCAGGGGGTGGCTGCACCGGCGCCTGGTTCAGTATTGCACTTACATAGCCCAGTGACCAACCGGATGCGGAGGCTGAGATCGGAGAAACCAGCAGTGGGGCTGGACCCAGGCCCCGGGCCCTGGATCCCAGGAACAAGAAGGGGCACAGAAGGGAATTTCCTGGTGGGCCAGTGGTTAGGACTCGGTGCTCTCACTGCCCTAGCCCAGGTTTGATCCCTGGTTGGGGCCTACGATCCTCCAAGATGCTCCGTGGGACAGGGAAAAAAAGAGGCAGAGAGATGAGAGTCTGGTCTCTTGCCAAAGCCCGCAGTGGGGGAGGGGACGAGGAGCAGCCTCAGAGGGCCTGGCACAGGCCAGGTATTCCAAGGATGCCCTTTCCCCTGCAGGGCCCTCTGTGCCTACGTTGTACAGAGGAATGTGACCTGCGTCCTACAGGAAGGAGCGGAGAGCTACCTAAAGGCTGAATACCGGCAGTGCAGCTGGGGGCCCAAGTGCCCCGGGACAGTCACGTGAGTGCACCCCTGTCCCAGCCACTCAGGATCCCAGGGCACAAGCTCCAGGCCTGCCTTCAGCAGAGGGCAGCAGCCGGCCCCACCAGGGCTGCGACTCCTGGGACTCCAAAGGTCCTTCCCCTGCGCCCACACAGGCGGGAAAAGAGGAGGCCAGCGAGGAACAGGGCAGGCTCAGGCTGGAGCCCACAGAGGGTCCCAGGGGAGCAGCAGCACAAGAGAGACAGGGGGGGGACAGAGGAGAGCAGAGAGTCACACTGGCAATGGGTGACCCCAGAGGGGGCCCCTGGGCAGACCCAGGGAAGGTGGCGCTGACTCTGGAGAAGGCAGGCCAACGGTAAGAGGCTGGGAGCCCGAGATCTGGGGCTTCAGCCAGACGGGTGGGCCGAGGACGTGCCGCACGCAGGTGTGACGCACAGGTCTGTACTTGGAGACCTTCAAACGTGTCTGAAAACAAGCCTGTTTGCTCCTGTGTATCAGTGGGTAAACAGGAGGGAGTCCCCATAGGGAGCACTCCCCTGCATCCCTGGGTCTCTCTGCTGTGCTCAGAATCAGAGGTGCCCTTCCGCCAGCCTCCCGGGCCAGAGCCGACTTCTCGGAGCAGGCCAGGGTGGAGGGGAAGGAACTAAGAGGCCCCCCAGGTAGGGAGTGGCCCCCAGGCAGTGGGAAGGGCTGTCTGCCCGCTTCTGTGCCCTGCCTCTCATCTACCCAGAGGGGAGGGGCTGGGTTTTGTCAGAAGTTTTCATGGTGCCTCCAAAGCCAGAGTTGGAATTTCCGACGGCAGGGTGAGCCAGAGGGGGTCCAAGTGGTCTGGGGAGTCTGGGGGCTAAATTCCCACTAGTCTTTGGCCCCAGCGAAACAGCATGGGGCGGGGCTTTGACCTGCCCCTTCCCTAGGGCATCTCGGAGCCTCTGGAAGGCCTGCTGCCACCCCTTTGCCCTGTTAGCACAGAAAAGGGGGAGATACTGGTGGGGCAGTGAAGCTGGGAGATTTCCAGTCCTTCTGCCAGTGTCTTGAGAGTGGCCCTGGGTCCCAGCAGGGGGCAGGGTCCCCTGCCCACGGACACAGAGCTCTGCCCTCTCCCGCCCCTGGCCCAGGTACCGCTCGGTGCTCAGACCCAGATACAAGGTGGGCTACAAGACGGTGACGGACCTTGCCTGGCGTTGTTGCCCTGGCCTCGCTGGAGAAGGCTGTCCCGAACACCTCGCGGACCACGGGGCCACACCACCTCAGCCAGAGCCTGAGACCCAGAGTCCCTCGGGGCAGGTGGCCCCAGGCCCCAGACCCCTTCCTTCCAGTCGAGTGGCCCCAAGCCCCCACGGTGAGTTTGCCCACGGAGACCCCCACCAAGGTGATCAGGCTTCTGGGGACTGACCCAGGCTGGCGGAGCCCGAGACAGGCAGGGGAGGGGGCATCTCACTCTGGGCGTGAGGGTGAGCCCCCCAGACCCCCCCTGCCACAGCTGGGGGGGAGCCATGCCCAGCAAGGTTGGCTTAGAACAGAAAATCTCTCAGGCGTCTGGGCCATAGGACAAGCTGAGTGAGCCAGGCCAGTGATGCTCCTGGGGTTCTCGCCTCCTCTTTCCCAGGAAGGAAAGGCCCAGGGCTGTTTGGTGAACGGCTGGAACGCCTGGAGGGTGACGTCCAGCGCCTGGCACAAGCATATGGTACCCTCAGCGGCCTGGTGGCCAGGCGTGAAGACCCCAGTAGGATGACTGGTGGACCCAGGGCTCCTGCTGCCCCCGTGGGCTTTGGGGTCATCCCCGAGGGCTTTGTGAGCCCCCGAGACAGAGCTGGAAGACCGCTCAGCCCGCCCCTGGAGGAGATCCTGAGCAAGGTGACGGAGGTGAGCAACACCCTCAGGACCAAGGTGCAGCTGCTGGACAAGGTGCACGGGCTGGCCCTCGGCCACGAGGCTCACCTGCAGCGGCTGCGGGAGGCACCCCCGTCCCCCCTCACCTCCCTGGCGCTGCTGGACGAGTACGTGGACCGACGGCTGCACCGGCTCTGGGGCAGCCTGCTGGACGGCTTCGAGCAGAAGCTGCAGGGCGTCCAGAGCGCGTGCGACCTGCGCGTGCAGGAGGTGCAGCAGCAGTGTGAGGAGGGCCAGGCGGCCAGCCGGAGGCTGCACCAGAGCCTCGACGGCCGAGAGCTGGCCCTGCGCCGGGAACTCTCACAGCTGGGTACCCGGCTGCAAGGCCTGAGTGTGGCCAGCGGGGGCAGCTGCTGTGGGCAGCTGGCCTTCATCAGGGCCCGCGTGGACAGCCTCGAGAGGAACCTGCAGGCTGTGATCGAGGCCCACCGGGGCCATGGCGCCCCCGATGGGGATGACCTCACGCGGCTATCTGCCGCCATGCTCGAGGTGGGCATGGATGGGCTGCCAGAGGGCGTGGAGACCGCCAACGGGACAGGGGGTGGAGCCAGGGGCTGCTGTCTGGGGACGGAGGAGGGGGGCTGGGGCGCGCGCGGCTTCCACACCATGCTGGAAGAGCGCGTGCAGAGGCTGGAGGAACGCCTGGTGACGCTGGCCGGGGAGCCGAGCCACGACCGCGCCCCTCCAGGCAGGCCGGCTCGGCCTCTCGTGCAGACGGAGCTGGCCGTGCTGGAGCAGAGGCTGGTTTCGCTGGAGACCTCGTGTACCCCCGGCACCACCTCCGCTGTCCTGGACAAGCTCGGGGCCGAGGTGAAGGCCTGGCAGAGCCGGAGCGAGTCCCTCCTGCGCCAGGTGGCCAGTCACGCCATCCTGCTCCAGCAGCTCAATGGCACCGTGGCCGAGGTCCAGGGGCAGCTGGCGGAAGCGATGGGCAGCTCCCTCCAAGGCGAGATCACCCTGCTCAAGGTCAACCTGAACTCTGTGAGCAAGTCGCTCACGGGCCTCAGTGACTCCGTCAGCCAATATTCCGATGCCTTCTTGGCCGCCAACACCTCCCTGGACGAGCGGGAACGCAAGGTGGAGGCCGAGGTTCACGCCATCCAGGAGCAGGTCAGCAGCCAAGGCTCGCGGCTTCGGGCTGATCACAGGCAGGTCCTGAGCCTGCGGGGCGAGCTGGGGCAGCTCAGGGCCAGCATGGCCGAGGTGGCTGGCGGGCTGAGCCGCTGCCAGGACACGGCCCAGGAGCTCCGGCACGCGGTGGGCCACTTCGATCAGAGGGTGGCCCAAGTGGAAGGTGCCTGCAGGAGGCTGGGCCTGCTGGCCGCGGGCCTGGACAGCTTGCCAGCCGCGTCGCTGGGGCCCAGGGAGGGCCTGTGGGACCACGTGGACCAGCTGAATCGCACGCTGGCCCAGCACGCCAAGGACATCGCCCGCCTCCGGGATGACCTGCTGGACTGCCGCGCCCAGCTGGCTGAGCGGGTGCGGCCAGGGCAGGCCAATTAGGTGGGCTGGCCGGGACCCAAACCCCCTCAGGTCCTGCCAACCCTGGGAGCAGACCCTCCCTTCCTCCCCCGACCCACCCCACACACCAGAGCCCAGCCTTGGCCAGCGCGGATGCCATTTCGGAAGGGCCTGAAGGAACAATCTTGGTCCAGCTTCACCTGACTGTCCAGGCACCAAAACCCACATTTGGTGTTGCACCAGCTGGACAATTCGGGATCACGGTCAAGGCCGGTACTTCATGCCTCAAGGCCCGGGTGGCCCTAAGAGACCTCACCATCTAGTCTGCAAAGTGTTGTCTTGCAGACAGCCCAGCCGGCACCTGCACACAGACCTCCAGGACCCTGCTCAGACCACAGTCTCTGCAGCTCCCTTGGCTCAGGGACGACAGCCCCAGGCCCGCGGAGGCTTCTGGCCTCCCTGTCCCTTTGGCTTCTCTTCTCGGCCATCTGGGCCCAGTTTCTTCAGGAAGGCGGTGCCTGTTGGCACGGTCTTCCTACCTGGCAGCTTCATGGATGCTGTTTCTGAACCAAGGACTAGAGGTTTCCACCGCCCACCCCCTGGCTTCTTCAGGACAGAATGGAAACACAAGGACTCGGCGAGAGCACTCTTTATTCCTTCTGATCCTCCCCCAAGGTGAGGGCTTAGGCAGCTGTGTTTTCCTGGCGGAAAGGATGTTTGGAGGCCCCTCCCACTGTAATTTATCCTTTTTTTCCTTCCCTTCCCCAAAGATGTTTCTAGGGTACTCTGGTCCCCTGCTTTCCATTTGGGGGGAAATCCACCCCCTGCCCCAGGTTAGAGCCTCCCTCCGGAGGGCAGCCCTCATGTACGTCATGGCCCGAATGAGGCCAGACCCTGGGCAGGAGGCCACGGCTGGAGAGCAAGGGCTCCAGGCCTAGTTTCCGACATCCTTGGAAAACCCCGGCCCTGCACGGATGTTCACAACAGGGTGAGAAATTCAGGTATGACAACATGAGAACGCAAGTGTTCGTCTGGCTCACATACCCCGCGGAGACCCATCCCTGCTGAGGCTTCTGGCCTTGGTTTCCCCACGGGGGCCTGGGCGCCCCCGTGTTAGCTCGCAGCCCCGCCTTCTGCGTTCCTGACATTTGGTGTTCTGCCCTCCACTTTGGTGCTGGGAGTGGTGGTGTTGGTGGGGGGGTGGGGAGGGCAGGCCTGGATTAAAGCTTTTAGCCTGTCTAAAGGTCCTTTCTTCCCCAAAGGCGGCGGGAGGGATGGCGGCAGAGGGGTGTTGGCCCTGCTTCCCACAGCCCCTCGGACAGAAACTCATGCAGCGGCTGTGTGGGTGGTGGAATGACCAGCAAGGGCTGGGGTTGGGGGGCAGGCAGAGTCTGTGGCTGTGTCCTCAGTGGAGGTGTGGGGAGGGGCCGGGTGTGTGGCATCTCCCTCCCCAGAGGCTGGGGGGTCCCAGCGCCTCTGGGGTCCAGATGGGCTGAGACACTAGGGCACCGGTGGGGCTCCGCGGTGATGTCTGGCTGGCTCCAGAGCTGTGGGAAGGGGCCAGGGCTACGGAGGATCTGGCTTCAGAGGGCACAGTGCAGGCTCCCCAAAGAGGGTTGGAAGACAATTTCTTCCCCGGATGGTTGGCCGCCATCACCCCTCTCCTGGGCGTACAGGCCTCAAGCATCAGAGGGGCCTCTCTCATCTCTGTCCTGTCAGGAGTTGAGTCTGGGTCCCGGGTGAGAAGGAAAGAGACATCAAGGGTGTAGAGAACCCCTGCAAGGACCCAGTCATTTCCTGGCTACAGGGCAGGGCCATGCGGGGCCTGGAGCAGCAGCCCCCTTGCCCCCTGACCATAGCCCAGCTGGCAAAGACCCGGGGACAGGAGAGGCCACGGCCAGCTCACAGCATCCCTCCCTCCCCTTCAGCGGGTTGGCCAAGCGGGCACCTGGCTTTCCGACCCACATGCCCTGGGACACACAGTCAGTTCTGGGCTGGGTCATGGTCAGCGGGCAGCCGCAGGCACGCTCAGGCCAAGGCATCAAGGTCCACGGGGGCCAGTGGCTCCCGCCAGTAGCAGAAGTTGCTGTATTCAGGGTGGGCCAGGTCTGTGCTGGGGCCGCGGGCCACGGGCGGGAAGAGGAGTTCGACCACCTCGCTGAGCCGCTCGTACCTGCGGGCAGAGATGCAGGTAGAGGTGTAGGTCTCCATGACAGCAGGTGGAGACCTTGTGTTCTGCCTGGGAGCCCTGGACCCGGGGCTCGGGCGGGGCTGGAGGGTGGTCCCCAGGGGTGGGTAGGTAGGTGGCACTGGGCCCCGGGGAGAGGGCCGGGGCGTGGGGGCACGTGGCAGGGCCTCACGTGGACTTGTGGTTCTTCATCAGCTCCTGGCTGAGCTCTCCCCGGGGGTTGACCGTGAAGATGCGGCAGGTGGGCAGGCCGACCTGCCGGTAGGCAGTGACATCCTACAGGGGACGAGGAGGGGTCAGGGGGCCAGGAGGGGTGGAGCCGGTGGCTCAGCGCCCCCCACCCCGCTCCCCAAGGAGGGGACACTCACATTGGGCCTGTTCCCAAAGGCGGCATAGAAGGGCTGTTGCTGGGGCAGAAAGAGCTGCTGGACATCACTCAGGCAGGCGATCTTGAACACCTCCGGCTTCCTCTCTATCACCTCCCTGCGGCAGCCGGGGGCCGTGGGCAGGGAGGGGGTTAGCGCGCCACCGGATGCGCAGGGTCAGGGGACGCTGCGGGGCCTGACCCAGCGGGTGCCCGAGCGAGGCCTGATGTGGGCCCAGCCTGGCCAGCGCTGGCGGTGGGCCTGCACACCTCCCCGCCCCGCCCCGCCCCACCCCGCCCCAGCGGTGGGACGCCCACCGGGCGGTTACCTGTGCAGGGCGGAGAAGAGGCTGCTGGGGGACAGCAGGATGGGGCCCTTGGGGAGGCCGCAGCCCGCCTCGCTCACCCACTGCAGGTACCCTTTGGTGAGGTTGGCCATGCCGATGGCCCGTGCCGAGCAGTATAGGAACTTGTACCCGTTTCTGGGGGTGAGACGCGGAATCAAAAAGACCCGCCGAACCCACCTCCCCTTCGGGGCTTCGATCAGCTTAAGCGCAACCCTGGCGCCTCTGCTGGGCGGGGCTTAGGATGGCAGCTGAGCCAGGCTGGGGAGGGAGAAGGAACACCACAGGGTCCTGAGGCCCACGTGGACCCAGGCCCGAGGTGAGGACTCAGGCCAGTCTGTAGTCTACAGCAGGAAGGCCGGCAGCTAGACTCAGGCCCCCACGCCGGCCCCACCGGACGAGCCTTTCACAGGAGAACTGAGGGCCAGTAGGTCTCCCCCACTCCAGGGACCTGCCCGGGGACATGCTCCTCCGCTGTGGACCCCCAAGCCTGGCTTCCGGGGGCGGAGGCCAGGGTGGCCTCAGGCATCCTGTCACTGCCTCCCTGGGGCCCCGCCCAGCCCAGGCACTCACAGGTGGATTTTGTGGTAGAGACTGGTGATGCCCTGATGTGTCCAGTCTTTCCCCAGTTGGGGCAGGATGTGGCCCAGCGCGTCCGACCTAGACCCACAGAGTAAGTACCCGGTTACTCGGAGACAGTCCCACCTGGCCCTCCCCCTCTGTGCGTGTAGCCCAGAGGGCCCCACCCCCACCCCCTGGATAGCCCACTGGGAGGGCGGGCCTCTCTGCCGCCCCCTCCCCGAGCACAGAGGGAGGCCAGGCCCCAGGCCCTCCTGGCCCACGGCTGACCCCTGCCTCACTTGGTGATGGTGCCGTCAATGTCGGAGATGACCACCTTGTCGTCCCACTTCCACAGGTAGATGGTGGCCCTGCAGCGGCAGGTGCCCTGGTACTGGGTGGTCACACTGAAGACCACATCGTTGGCACCTTCCTGCAGGTTCAGGCGCCGCTGGGGTGGGACGTGGGGGAGGGGGGCCGTGGCTCAGCCAGGTGCTGTCCTTCCACCACCCACCCACCCCCACACCGTGGCCTTGCCTCTCCACAGGCCTCTTTCTTCTGTTCCTCCCAACTCAAGAACCTTCCTGAATGCATCAGAGTCAGCCACGTGGGCAGAAGGTGGCCACAAGGAAGACACGAGGGGCTGCTGGTGGGACCCGTAGAGCGCCAGGCCTGGGAGCTTTGAGATGAAGCTCATGGACCAAGCCTGGCCCGTGACCCCCGTCTAGGTTTCTCAGGTCAGCCTCAGGGCCGACACTGCTCTGGGCGGAGACACCCCATTCCGCAGAGGGGGCCCTGAGGGGATCTTCCCTGGCAGCCCCCTGCCTGAGGCTAGGGTACCTGTGACATCTCCCCTGGGGGCAGCTCCCAGCCACAGCTTGTGACCTGGCTGATCCCCTAGCTGGGTGTGCACCCCTGGGGACCACACAGATGGCAAGCTACTCTGTGCCAGGCTGGCCAGACCCTCCTGGGCACCTCTTGGCCAGAGTCACACTTGGGAAGAAAACATTCTTGGTACAGGAGCCACAGTGACTCCAGGGTGTGACTTGGGGGCCTGGGGTTGCCAGAATCTGAGAGGCTGTCATCAGCGTTTGATTTCCTGTAGCTTCCAAAGGCAGAGCCAGAGCCAGCCAACCCACTACAGGGACTCTTTTTTTTTTTTAATTGCTTTTGGTTCCACTGCAGGGTATGGGGGATATTAGTTCCCCTACCAGGCATCAAACCTGTGCCTCCTGCATTGGAAATGCAAAGCCTTAACCCCTGGACCACCACCAGGGAAGTCCCTACAGGTAGATATTTTAAGATTCCATACATAAGAGGGGGCTTTTCTAGCCAGAGTGTCCTCCAAAGAATGGGCTTGTCTTTTCCCTGCCTTTGTCCAGCGGTGGGAAGCAGTCCTGGCTGAGATGCCCCGCGAGGTGGCTGCCACAGAATGGTGTTGCTAACCCACCAGTTTCTTGTCCTTTTGGGGAGGTCAAGGCCAAGCCCCCACTTGGCTTGAAAAGGGACATTTTCAGAGTTTTCTGTCTGTCACTTGGGGTGTCTTCACTTCTTATATTTCCCTAATAAACTCAACTTATAAAAAAAAAAAGAAAAAAGGGCTGGCCTGTGAAGAAGTGGCACCGAGAGGCGTCCCCGGAGGAGGTATGCAGGGGCCGGCAGGGTGGCAGACACTGGGGATGGGTTCCGGGCTTTGGCGAACACAAGCCGTTTTGCAGTCGGACCCTGAGGGCCCCGGGGACACAGTTCTTGCAGCCCTGCCACCCCCACACCTGCACACACTTACGATCTGACTGGAGGAGAGGCGGAGGGACTTCTTGTAGGCAGGGGCGTGGGCTGGGGGCGAGGGGGGCAGGGAGGGGGCCTCCAGGATGACGGGGCTGTCCAGAGTGTCATCCTCACTGCTCAGGGCTTCTGTCTTCTCCCTGCAGGTGGACCAGCTTTCAAGCCACTTCACCCAGGCTAGGCCTTCCCTCCCGTAGGTGCCCACCCCCACCCAGGTCACAGGGAGCCTGCCGCGTGTCCCTGCACCTCTAGGGACCCCTCCCTCTGGGGCCGCCCATTTAGGGGGTGGTGGCAGGCAGCAGGACGCAGGCCAGGGGGGTCTCCACCCAAAAAGGTGACTCCACAGAGCTGGAGCCGAGACACAGAGCGCCCAGCCCCCAGGGTGCTCTCCATGGTCAGGACACTGGTACCTGCTTCGGAGACGGTGAACTGAGAACTCTGTCCTGGCCAATCCCACCCGCCGCAGTAGCAGTCAGCCCATCCCCGATAACTGCCCCCCCCCCACCAGCCTTGGACACTCTGGGCCACTTCAGACATGAGAAAAGGAAGCAAGATCAGCTGGCCCCTGGGGGAGAGGGGATGCCCTACTCCTTCATAAGGTAGCCCCTTGTCCAGGCTGGGAGTCTGGGTACCCCTTCCAGCTCTGCCACTTCCTGGCTGTGAGACCTTTGGTGTATGTGGGTTTTCCCATCTGTGAAATGGGGACATGTCTCAGGAAAAAGAAGGGGTGTAGAAGTGATTGCAGAATGACAAAGACCCATGGCAGGGGAGGGGTGCTGGCTGCATCCGCCCCTCACGGCCATCATCCCGAGCTCCTGCTTCAGCGGCAGAGCCCCAGCCACGAGATCCCACTTACCCCTGCTGCTCCCGGGCTGTGGTTTTCTCCCTCTGGGCGCTGCACTGTGGGGGAAATATCCATCTAGTGAATCCCCGCCCACTGCCCATGTGGGGCCTGTCTGGGATCATGATCACCCACCTCCTTGGCCGGGAAATCCCTGCGTCGCCAGGAAAACCACCACCGGCCTCCCTTCCGGGGCATCTTCTCCTTCTCCAGCTTGTCCACGGTGCTCTGCAGGCAGAGGAAGGCCACTAGCGTTTTCTACTGCCCCACACAAACACACCTTATCTTGCCCTTGGGGCCCCCATGAACCCAGAGTCTGGGGCTGACCCTAGAGCAAGGGGCTATCAACATGTGGAGGCTAAAGAAGCCTACTCACCCCCATCTTAGGATTTTGAGCAATGACTCTAGGAGATGAGCGTGGGAGAACAAAGGCCACTTCTGCCCGCCTCCACCCCACCCCAGCTAGAGCTGATCCCCCAGCTCTAGCCCAGCCTTGGCCTGCCCTCCAGATCTCAGGAATCAAGATCTACTACTGCCAGCTCTACTCTGGTGGCTGAAGGCAGTGCTTTGGGAGTTTCTCAAGATCTGGTTCTCCCTGCATGATGCCAACAAGTGGCGGCAGGGACAGTCTCTAGCCAGTACCACCCTCACCCTCCAAGACCAACATGGGCAATTCCTAAGGTCAGTGATCTATCCCCTGAGCAGTCTCCTTCTCTGCACACATGACCATCATTGTCTGGTGAGGACAGTATGACCCTGTGAAAAACCCTGATTATGTTTGTGCTAGGTAATCCCAGGGAAAGCTCAGCCCAGGCCCACCTAGAAGACTTATCAGCTTCCTGCAAATACAGAATGGAGAACCCAAGTCAGGAGAACAAGAGCCAGGGTGTCCACCTGGGCAGGGAAGAGGCTGGGGCTTCCCAGATGCCGCTAGTGGTAAAGAATCGACCTGCCAGTACAGGAGACGTAAGAGATGTGGGTCAATCCCTGGGTCGGGGAGATCCCCTGGAGGAGGGCATGACAACCCACTCCAGTATTCTTGCCTGGAGAATCCCAGGGACAGAGGCGCCTAGTGGGTTATAGTCCCTGGGGTTGCCAGAGTCGGACACAACTAAAGGGACTTGGTGCCCACCACTTGGGCTGGTGGAGTTTCTCCTAAGTTTGTCCTGAGTTTGTCTGGGTTAAGGTGAAAAGAGCCAAGTGTGGGGGGGGTGCTGGGGGAGACCGTCTCCCTTCCCACAGGCTCTGGGGTCCCAGCTTAGACCTACAGCCAACCAGAGGACAGAGCTGAGTGGCACCAATGGGAGGCACCAGCTGTCAACATCAGGTCCTTTGGGCAAGCCTAACCAAGCTAATAAGGATGGGTCAGACAGGGTGGGGCCCTGGCAGAGGGGCAGAAGGGGTGGGTGCAGGTCAGCCCTGTGCGGGGTGGGGGTTCTGGAAGGGACTACAGAGGCTGGACCTTCCACCTCTGAGCACCTGCACAGGCTCTTCCCCACCCCTCGCTTACTCACCCTTCAGACCTCAGCAAACCCCCTGCTGGAGGCTCTCAAAGCACCCCAGACAGTTCCTTCCTGCTTCTCACAGTTGAACTGTATACTCATTTGACTGAATCTCTGGTTAAGTATCTCCCTATGAGGGCGTGACTCTCCCTGGTCCGGGCCTGGCATATAGTAGGTACTCAACAACTGTGTGCTGATAAAGCAACACCCCCAAGCCCAGCCTGGAGAGGGTCTCCGGGGAAGGTGAGGGCTGGGACCTCCACCTCCCAAGACTGTCTCTCAGATCCAAAAGGCTCCTGCTGAAGGCATGTCCCTGTTGCCTCTGGTTTGCCCTGAATTCCTCTGAAGTCCAAATATATTCCGAATGGACTTAGCCATGGCAGGAAGCCGGGGGGGGGGGGGGTGCTTCGTCTACACCGCCTAGGGCAAGGCTTCAGGGAGCCTGGGTCTCTCCTCCCAGAGTGGGTCCTGCTGCCCATCAGCCCCAGGCCCATCTCTGCCCACCCTCCCCTTCCTTGCCAAGGGTATGGCCACTTTCCCCAGGAGATCCGGGGGGTGCTCGAACCATTACCTTGGGTAAGTTTTTCTGAAAGGCCTGCAGGGACAGGATCATGGGCGCAGCTACAGCCCAGTTATAATGCCTGCAGAGACAGATGGGGCGTCAGGGCCGTGGAGGGAGGGCTGACCCAGCGGCCCAGGCCCAGTACGCACTGCTCGTTGATCTTCACCACCAGGTTCGGGTTGTCCAGCAGGCCGGGGTTTCGGGCGAGGTCCTGGTAGGAGACCATGTGCTGGTTGAACTTCTCTGGGCACAGAGGTAGAAAGCGAGAGGTGAGGCTGGAGTCCCTTGTGACCCACTGTCCCCACCCCTCCCGGCTGCCCCATCTCTGGCCCTGGGGCCTCCTGCAGCTCAACCAGAGCAGGGCTCCTGGCTCCCCGGGGCTCTGGCATCTGCTGGTCCCACCCCAGGCCGTCCTGGAGTCACAGCTCGGCGTCACTCAGCATTGGTTTCAGGGGGTCTTGGGGACGCCCAGCCCTTGCTGGCCGAGGGTGGGCTCCACGAAGCCTCACACACGCCTCCGCTGCCCACCCTCGAGGGTCTTCCCTCCCTGCTCCCGTGCCCTGGGCTCAGTGACAGTCCTCGGGAGGGCAGGGCCACTGCCGAGCATACCCGCGGAGACGGCCCTGCCGTCGGCCAGGCCCCCACAGAGGGACAGCACCACGGGGCCTGCTGTGTCCGCAGCGGGCTCTGGCTCCTGCTCGGGGTTGCAGTCCCCCAGCGGCTTCACGCTGTCAGGAGCACTCCACTTCCTGGCCCCCAGCCCACCGCTGCTGGGGACGAAAGGACCAACAGGGACATGAACAGAAGGAGGAGGCAGGCGGGAGGGCCTGGCCCCTGCGAGCCGACCCCTGGCCCCACGGGCCTCGATCCCAAGACACCCCGGAGCCCAGAACCCGGGCACCTCTGGGGGAAGTAAAGGGCTGCGTTCTCAGAGTCCAGGGAGGGCAGGTCATCCAGGTAGATGTCACTGGGGCCCAGGTGCTGGCTTCTCTTCAGGGAACCTGGCGGGAGAGGAGGGGGCATCTGTCCGCCTAACCCAGCGAGGTGCGCTCTTGGGCGCACTCCACCTCCCCTACCCCTGAGCACCACGAGGTGGCGCTGTCCGGCCCAGGCCTTAACCGGCTGCAAGGCTAGGAAGGTCCCAGGTCTGCACTGTGCAGTTCGGTAGCTGCTGGCCACAGGAGGCTGTGGGGTATACTTCAAAGTGGAAATGGATGAAGAAATGGAATTTTAAGTCTTATTCAATTTTTTTTTTTTGGCCGCACTACAGGGCATGCGGGATCTTAGTTCCCCAAACAGGGACTGAGTCCTTGCCCTCTGCAGTGGAAGTGGGGAGTCTGCACCACTGGACCGCCAGGGAAGACCTCCAAGTGTTACTTAATTTTAATTAATTTTATTTATTTATTTTTTATTTTTCCCCTCCCAGTTAGGTTGCCCTCCGAGATTCAAAAACTTCCCCCAGACCCACCAGTGCGAGGGTTTCCTGGTGTTTGGAGACTTCCTCTACTAAGACTCCCTTCCCCAGGACGGATCTCTGTCCCTAGCTCTTTTGTCTCTCTTTTTATCTTTTATATTTTGTCCTACCTCCTTTCGAAGACAATGGGCTGCTTTTCTGGGTGCCTGATGACCTCAGCTAGCGATCAGAAGTTGTTTTGTGAAGTTTGCTCTGCGTTCAGTTGTTCTTTCGATGAATTTGTAGGGGAGAAAGTGGTCTCCCCGTTCTATTCCTCCGCCATCTTGGCTCCTCCCTACTTAATTTTAATTAATTTTAACTTGGGGATTCCCTGGAGGCTCAGATGGTAAAGAATCAGCCTGCAGTGCAGGAGACCACGGTTCAATCCCTGGGTCAGGAAGAGCCCCTGGAGAAGGGAATGGGTTACCCAATCCAGTAGTCTTGCCTGGAGAACCCCATGGACAGAGGAGTCTGGCGGCTTACAGTCCACGGGTGCAAAGAGTCGGAAACGACTGAGCGACTAACACTTTCACTTTTAATTTTAAATAGCCACATGTGGCCAGGGACTACCCATGTGGGCAGCTCAGGAGTCAATTTCCTCTCTCAACACTCTCCCTGGCCTCATTTAAGATATACCATCTGCCTCGGTTCCCAGACACGAAACCTCTCTCCCTCATCGTTGCCATGCTGTTCCCTCTGCCTAGAATTCTCTTCCCCTGGTCCTTACTTGGCTGGATCTTTATGGCCCACGTCTCAGCTCAGGCATTACCCGCTCAGAGAGGCCTTTCCTGGTCCCATGATTTAAACAGCCCCGGTCCCAGCCAATGATTCTGTCTGGTATGTGCACGTTACACTCCCCCTGGTTTACACCTACGTCATCTGTATGATCCACGGGACTGAGAGTCCCACGAGGAGGGCTGGGCCAGACACAGCGCACACAGTAGGTGCTTAAATGTGCTTGAAGCCCCAGAGTCCACCCAGGGGATAACCTGAGGCCAGGGAAGCAGTGGGAGGGGTCCGGCCATTACTCACCTTTCCTCTGGGACACCCCCTCTGGCTTGCGGGTGTGAGTGGGGTCTTCCAAAGCAGCCCAGCTCCAGGATTTGGACGGAGGACGGGGGCCCGCATCCCCCAAACTCTGAGTCTTGGTTTCCTCCCTCTCAGGGGCAGAGAGAGGGGGACCCGCCAGAGCGGGCGCCTCCGTGTCAGGCTGAAGGTCAGTGCCAGCCCCTGTCTGCAGGGTTGGGGGTCCCGGAGGGTCCACGCCAATCACAGAGGCGGAGGGGGTGCTGGGCGCCCCCTTAGGCGGAGAGGCTATCCTGGAATTGGCATCAGCGACCACCGAGGACTCGGACCATTCAGCTTTGCCCACCTTCAATCAAACGGAGGGATGATGGGGACGGGGCAGGGCCTGCTGCCCACACCCCGCAAGGCCTCAGGCAGGCGGGCCAAGTCTCAGTCACTCTAGTCCTGACCCGCAGGGGCCATGGAGCCCCTAAGAGGTAAGGCTGGGGGGCTGACACGGGGGGACTCACCTTTGGCAGCCTCCCCCAGGCCCACTGCATGTGGGACTCCGCTCTCAGGGGGCTGGGTTCGGGGCTCCGCAGTTCCAGCTCGGAGTCACTCTTGGGAGATGTTAGCTCACCCTGTGAGAGGCTGCAGGAAACAAGAACTCAGGACCCCCAAGCCAGCAGGCCACCCCCTGCCACCCTCTCCAGCCTGGGAACATTTTTTTTTTTGGCAACATGTATTTATACCTGTGTTGGATCTAGAATATATAAAGAATATATAAATATATAAAGAACTCCTGCAAATCAACAATAAGAAGGCAATCCAGTTTAAAAAAGAAAAAACAACAATGGGCAAAGTTGTGACTTCTTTTTTTTTGGCTGTGTGCCATGTGAGATCTTACTTCCCCAACCAGGGATTGAACCCACACTCCCTGCGTTGTCTGTACGGAGTCTTAACCACTAGGGCACCAGGGAAGTCCCAGGTAGTGACTTCTTAATGGGTTTAGCGGTTCCATTAAGGGTGTGAAAAGGCTTTAGAACGCAAGGGGGTGATGGTTATACAACATCGTGAGTATACTAAATGCCACTGAATTGTGTCCCTTAAAATGGCTGATGATGAGTTCGTCACTCAGTCGTGTCCGACCCCATGTACTTTAGCCTGCCAGGCTCCTCTGTCCATGGAGTTCTCCAGGCAAGAGTACTAGAATGGGTAGCCATTCCCTTCTCCAGGGGATCTTCCTGACCCAGAGATCGAATCCAGGTCGATTCTTTACCATCTGAGCCACCAGGGAATTATTTTAAATGGTTTAAAATGGTAAATTTTATGTGTTTTTTCTTTTCAACTTTTTGGCCGCACTGTGCAGCAGGTGGGATCCTAGTTCCCCAGCCAGGGATCAAACCTGTACCCCCAGCCTTGGAAGTGTGGAGTCTTAACTACTAGACCACCAGGGAAGTCCTATGTGTATTTTACGGCAATAAAAAAAATAGGCAAGATGGTTGAATATCAACACTTTACACAAAAGATATACAGGATGGTAAATGCAATAAGTATGTTCTGTGTCATTATTCATCAGCAAAATGTACATGGAGACCCCTCTGAGACCTCGGCTTTGAGTCTCTGCCTGTAGCCCACCCGGATGCTCACCTGGCCTGGGGGTGCCACTCGCCGTCAGAGTAGGGGTAGATGTCTTTGGGCTCCGGTGAGGACTCCCCTTCCGGCTGGATGCTGCTGAGGGGGCCACAGGGAAATAAACGGTCCCTGACAGGACAGGTAACCTGGGCAGGGCATGGAAGCCTGGACATCACTGAGGAAGTAAAGCAACTAAAGCCCAGAGAGGTCAAGGACCTGGCCCAGGGTCACACAGCATCGGCAGAGGAAACTGAGCTTGAACCCCCGGTGGCGTGCCCTCACCCTCAGCCCCCGACATACCCCGGGGGCTCCGGCCTTGGCTTTTCCAGCAGGGATGGGTCACTCTCAGTGCCTGCCTCCAGCTCCTCTGAACTAGAATCGGCGGCCACCGCGTCCTCCTTCCGCTTGGTCTTCCTCCTGCGCCGTTTCTTCTTCCGCCCAGTGGGAGCCATGCCCGCGATGCTGGCGTCAGGCTCGCTGGTGGTGCCCAGCGGGGAGTCCGAAGGGAACCCCGCCAGGCCCCCCCAAGGGATGGGTGACGTGCACAGGCGGGGAGGCACGTCTTCCTGTGGAGCAGACCAGGGCTGAGGGGGCAGGAAAACAGGCCTGGAGGCTGGACAGGGGCGGCGGGAGCATGGCCTTGTGCCTGTTGCTGGCCTCAGAGTTCCCTCACGGAGACAGAGCAGCCCCAGTCCCAGGGGTGCAAGCTCTCCTGACAGCCCACCGCAACCACACGGTCCAGAGAGGAACCTGGGCACCGGCCTCTCACCTGCCCTGCCCACACCTACCACAGCAGACACCCACTTCCCCTCTGGGACTCAGCCAGGTGTCACCTCCTCCAGGAAGCTTGCCCTGACTTTCCTCAGCCTCCGTTGCAACCCCCTTCGCCGCCTTGGCCAAAAGGTTCCTTCATCTGTTGTTCACAGGTCTGTCTCCCAGGCTAGTCTGGGAACCTTCTTTTTAGGTAGGGGTCACCCCTCATCGAGGTCCACTGCAGTGTCCGGCACACAGCAGGGGCCCAACTGAAGTTTGCCAGACACTTTAAACACCTCCGCCGACTGCTGCTGGCCCTGCCTGCCGTCTGCAAACGCCCCTCTGCTCCTCCCTCGCCCCCACACGTCCGTGTCCCAGCTGCCCCCAGCCAGCGCCAGACCCGGAACAAGCCGTCATCTCGTGCTGTCCAGTTCTGGCCACTGCTCAGCACCCTCCTCCTCTCCAAGGCTGCCCGGGGAGGGCCTCCTTCCCACCCTTCAGGGGCCCAGCTCAAGTGTCCTCTTCTGAGAAAACTTTCCTGGAAGTAGCATCAGCCCTTCCTACCCCCCAACCCCATCCCTCCCCCTACTCTCTTTTCCTCCCTATCCCCCATCCCCTCCCCCCCCATCCCTCCCCAGTCCCCCATCCCCCATCCCCTTCCCCCCCATCCCTCCCCAGTCCCCCACCCCCCATCCCTCCCCAGTCCCCCATCCCCCATCCCTCCCCAGTCCCCCACCCCCCATCCCTCCCCAGTCCCCCACCCCCATCCCTCCCCAGTCCCCCACCCCCCATCCCTCCCCAGTCCCCCATCCCCCATCCCTCCCCAGTCCCCCACCCCCCATCCCTCCCCAGTCCCCCATCCCTCCCCAGTCCCCCACCCCCCATCCCTCCCCAGGCTCCACCAGCACGTCCTGATGCCCCTGCCTCAGACCCTCGCCAATGGTGGGGAGGGTCCTCCCCACAGTGGGGACAGTGGCAAATCCCCAGGCCCCGCCCAGAGGGGACACCAGTGAAGATGCACTCACCTCATCGCTCTCCAGCTCCTGGACGAAGAAGGCCTCCCCGCTGTCCCCCAGCTTCATGTGCAGGTCCACGGGCTCCCCGTTGATCTCGATGTCCACCTGTAACAGGGCGCGGTAGGGCGGGGGTCCCCGCTGTCATCCTCCACTCCCACCTCCAGTCCACTGGCCTCCAGGCTGGTCCTGGGGACACAGGCTGCCTGCTGCCCCAGCACACTGCACTTTCTGGATCTCTCGCTTCCCTCCCCCACCTTGGGGCGCCCCCTGCTCCCCACTCCGAGGGTCTCTGCTCACCATCTCAATATTCTCGTTTATGCCTTGGTTTCTGTGTTCCTCTCTCCCACAGGCCATCAGCACAAGGACATGATTTTTTTAACTTTTTGGCCACCCCATGTGGCATGTGGGATCTCAGTTCCCTGACCAGGGATTGAACCCACGTCTTTGCGCTGGAAGGATGGCGTCTTAACTGCTGGACCATCAGGGAAGTCCCAGAACATGATCCATCTTGTCACTGGTTTTCCCCAACACACAGGAGAGCACACAAACAGTTGTGCATGACATGAACACCCTTTCCTGGGCACTCTTTAGAGTGTGTTACATAGACTCATTTAATCTCCACAACCACCCCTGGCCATAGCTCCCATCATCATCCCCACTTTACAGATGAAGAAAACGAGGCTCAGAGGGGTTAAGTAATTTTCTGGGAAGTAGCCAAGTTAGGCTATGAACCCAGAAAGTCTGAGGCCACAACCCAAGCCCTTAACCAGTCAGCTACACCATCTCCCGAAAGGTTACACTCTCCTACTAGGATTTGGGAACGTCACCCAATTGTGAAGGGGGTCTGGGCTCACCAGACCAGAACTTCGGTGTTAATAAAAATGTGTCATGTTCACCTGAGCCCCGTGAATATGGAGCTGGTCTCCTAGGGGCAAGGAACTAACTTGTGAGTAACTTCCCCCACCTCTCCCCAGTGAGCTCCAAGCTCATCATCAGGGAGATGGGAATGTGCCCATTCACACAGGTGAAGTGACTTACCAGGGACACAAGGGTAAGGCCTCAGGAAGCTGGAGCCGGTCTGATGGCCCCAGTATGGAAGCCTGCTCTGAATTGCTGCTTCCAGGGGAAAACAGGGGCCCTTCTGGACCCGAAGCCGCAATCCAACCCCAGGAAAATACAAAAGAAGGGAAGCCTCCCCGGAGGACGCATCGCCACCCCAGGGAGGTCTGGGTCCTGTCCTGGAACCATGGTGGCCATCCTGGCTCCCAGAGCCCACCCCCGTCCCCCCCAGGGCCCCTCTCCTGGACAAAACTCACCACCTTCTCCCGCGAGCGCAGGACGCCCAGCTTGCCAAAGCGCACGTGGAAGGGCGAGCATCGGAAGGAGCCGTCCACCTGCCTCACCACCAGCACATCGATGCCCCCACTCAGCGTGGCCGGGTTCAGGCCCCGGTACAGGCCCTTCACCGTGCCGAACACAGTCTCCGCCAGCTGCCCCATGTAGTTCATGGCTGTGCTGGTGAAAAAGTGGAGGTGCTGGGCCCACCGCCCTTCTGGGGGAGGCCCCGCAGCCTGACCCCCTGCCCGGGACCTACCTCAGGCTTCCGGCGTGTGGTCCTGGTGGTCCTCGGAGTCCTCGGAGCGCCTCCGCAGATGGGCAGCCCTAATGGGCTGGGAGGTGAGCCTGAAGACGTGGGTTCTGATCCCAATCGGCCGTGGGGCCCCCTCCCTTCTCCAAGTGCGATGCTCACTTCTGTCAAATTGGGGCACCGGGTAAGGCCATCCAGGGCGCCGCGAGCGTCTAAATGCCATGAGTAATCATGACCACCGTGCTCAGTGGCAGGGCTCATGTCACCTTTATGACAACCTGCCAGGCCGGCCGAGCGGGTCATTATCCCTGTTTACAGACAGGCCAGGCCGCGGCTCAGGGAGGCGGAGTGACTTGTCCACGATCTCACCACTCATCAGGAGCGGAGCCAGGCTTCGCTCCCAGGCCTGGGTGATTGCAGAGCCCTTGATGTGAACCCCTGGGATGGCCTGACTGTGGGGGCAGGGAGAGGGCAGGCACCCCACGTTAGGGTACAGTGAGGGGCCAGCCTCATGGCAGATCAGGTCCAGGGCCCCCAGGGGTCACATGGGACAGTCCCAGGCAGAGGGGAGAAGGGGACCTGTTTTCCCATCTGAGAAATGGGTTGCTTGCTGCCTCCTGGTCCTAGGAGTTAAAAGGAAACTTGCTGGGCCATTGTGGCTAATGTGTGGGGGACCAAGGGTGGAGGTAACCTTGGTACCCAAGGCTTTGCTCAATTCTCAGATGCTTGCAGTAAGGCATCCCCCACAGCTGGGCCCAAACTACAAAATTTAAAGCCCAAACTCCCAAATCCTTCCCAGTTTCCCTGGGACATGTGGGAAGCCCGTTCACAGCCACGACCTGATCCCAGTGTCTCTAAGTCATAGTTCTCAGCCGTGACCCCACTCCTCAGACCCACATTCAGGCTTGGGCTGGCCCTTGGCCCATCACAGCTGTTCCTTCTTCTCCCAGCTAAACCGGTCCCTCCGGCTCTCACATCAGGCAAAGCTGGGTCAGCCAGAAGCAGGAGCCGTAGCAGCTGTGGAGAAGAGCCAGGGCCATAATAAGAGCCACCTCCACACTGGCTGGGTGCCTGCCCCGCCAGCTTCATCTTATCACCCCTTCCCTGCTGGCCAATGGCAGTGGGCTATACCCTTCTGGCTGCCGGGACCCAAACCATCCCACCTTCACAGGGCACTTCCCTCTGATCCTGCATCCTCCAGGCAGACCTGCCATGCAAGGTCACCCGTCAAACAAGTCAAGTGACTTATCTGAACCCTATGAAGCTAGCAGGCCGGAGATGAAGGGGGAGGGACTGATGACTCATATCCTGGTTTCCTGATTCCATACCATGGTTCCTTCCCCTCCGTGGTCCCCAAAGCATGCCACAGTCATCTACAAAGAGGGCCGCCCTCTCTGCACAGCCCTGTAATGCCTCACCAAAATCCCAAATGTGCTGCTCCAGGGCCCAGCATCACCTGGGAGCTGGTTAGAAACAGAGAGCTTCACAAACATAAGGTCCCATGAGAATTGCTAAAGTGAAAAATTGGGATAAAAATGAAATTCTTTGGACCCCTAAAATTTCACTCAAATTGAACACATCTTTTACCTGCAAGGCACACCTGCTGTGTGGTAGGTGAAAACTCCTACTTTGGTTTCTCCATCCTTAACACTAGAGTACGAATATAGGAGACCCACTGATAAAGAGAGACATGTGGTGGGCAGGGCTTTAGATCACTGAGCCCAGGAAAAGCAGAGAAGATTCCAGAAGCTTCTAGGAATATAAAGGAGCAAGCATCAGGCTCCCTGGTGGCCAAGAGTCCAGCAGTTAAGAATCCTGCATTGTCACCTGGCAATGCAGGGGCACGGGTTCGATTCCTGGTCCGGGGAGATTTCACATGCTGTGCAGCAACTAAGTCATCACAATGACTGAGTCAACGCTCTAGAGCCCAGGAGCTGCAACCACTTGCACCCTGGAGCCCGGGCACTGCAATGAGAGAAGCCACCGCTACGAGAAGCCCACGCACCTCAATGAAGAGTACAGCCCACTCAAAACTAGAGAAAGCCTTTGCAGCAAGGAAGACCCAGCACAGCCGAAAATAAATAAATAAGTATATTAATTTTTTTTTTTAAAAAGGAGCAAGCAACGGAGGGGCACCCCAGGAGTGGGGGCAACGTTCTGCCCTGCACAGAGCACAAGAGCTGGTGGTGGGTGGGCAGGGAGGGGGCGGAGGAGACAGGCTCAGCTCCACCTGCTACTGGGTTTCTCAACTTTACCACCGCTGCTGTTTGGGGTTGGGATAATTCTTTGTTGTGGGGTTGGGGGGCGGCTTGTAAGACGTTTAGCAGCATTCCTGGTCTACTCACTAGATGCCAAGTGGTACCCTCCCTCCTGACAATCAAATTGTCTCCAAACTTTGTCAAATGTCCCCTAGGGGACAAAACTGCCCCCAGCTGAGAGCCACTGAGATAGGAGAAAGCTGAGTGGCAGAGGGGGCACCTGGGTCCTACTCTGCTCCACTGGTGGGATGTGGTCCGGCAAGTAACTTGTTGGCCTCAGTTTCCCCTTCTATGAAACTCAGCCTGGATTTCTCAGACCTTCCCAGCTCTAATGTCATGGGAGCCTAGAATTCATTTCTCTCCTTGCTCACCTGCTCACGAGTGGATGTCCCACCTCTGTCTGCTCAGTATTTTGGAGGGGAGGGGGTGAATCTTGTGAGTCAAGCCCTGGGCCCCCTCCCCTCTACCTGCACCCATTCCCGAAGACACCTCCTATCTCCAGGACCAGCTCTGCCTCCTTGGTCTGCTCTGGATGGAGGAGAGCTCTACTAGGCTCCCCTATACTCCCCTTTACCCCCAAACTCACAGGTCTAAAACCAAATATGTCCCTTTCCCTGGGAACTTGGTCAGCTGAATTCCTCTAAGGACTCATGGCTACCCTTCCCTCCCAAGGCCTCTGAATCCTATTCCCCAATTTCCTACTCATCTGCCCCCCCCGCCCCCGGCTTTCCTGCTGTCCTAGATCGAGGCTTTATGACCAATGCCCAGATCCTGGGGGACAGCAGGCAGTGTGGTTAAGGCACCAGACTGTCTCTCTGACCCTTACTAGCTGTGACCCTGAGCAGGTCACTTCATCTCTCTGAGCCTCAGCTGCAGCCTCCTAAATGGGAATAACACAGGGATGCCCGAGTAACTCATGACATAATTGGTATAAAGCAGTAGCAGGCACTGAACACCCACCCACGCCACCTATCAGTTGCAGCATTGTTTTTGGAATCGTGACAATCGTCTCTCAACTCAGGCTGGTGCTGAGGGCAGGACAGGTCAGACTCCAGTGCACGGCCCCTGCCCTGAGTTGACAGTTCAGACTTAACTTGGCATTCAAGGCCCTGCACAATGGTGGCCTCGCTGTTTGCTCCAGGCAGGCCTCCCAGGGTGCCCAGGCCTCAGAGTCCACAAACATCTACACGCCACCCCACCCCACCAGGCCTGCATAGAACCCCACCACAGGGAAGGCAGAACAAGCTGCCCTGGGTGTCAGCCTCAGCCTTTCTGCGCTCCCAGATTCAGGGATGGTGGCCTGTAGTGCTCTGTCTAGGACCAGAGGGTGTCGGAGGGTCAGCCCTGTCTAGCTATGCAAGAGAGACAGTTCCACCCAGGATCCCTAACTGCCTTCACAGCTGCTTCCTCTGACTTGCCCAGTCTCAGGGCCGGTGGGGCAAGGTCAGACCTTGTCTTGCAACTGAGGACACTGAGAGGGTGGGTGTCTTCCCCAGCGTCACACAGTCTGCCTGGGGGGTGAAGCTGGGGGGGGGCGGGGTTGGTGGTGGTGAAACTTTTCCCCAGAGAGGTTTTCATATCTTATTCTCTCCCGATTCCCCATTCTGGGTGTCCCGGGACCCCGGAGGCGCTGAGTCGGGTAGAGGGATGAAGTGAGGCCCAGCTCCACCACCCTGGAGTTCCCTTCGGATATCTGGAGAGGGCCCGGGATCAGGAAGGAAGAGGGTCAGATGGCAGGGCAGATGGGCGGCGCCGGGTGGGGCGGGGGACGGGGACCTCATCTCCGGCCCTGGTTGGGCCCTACCTGGGGAGATGCCCACTGGACTTCGGGCTCCCGGAGCCGCCGCTTCTACCTGAGGGTACAGGGTCAGCAGGTAAGTGTCTCCGGCCCCGCAATCCCTAGGCACTTCCGGCTCCTCTAGGAATGGGCGAGATCCCGGTTCCGCCCCTTCCACCAGCTAAGGGCGGCCTCTGCAGGTCCCAATCCGTCTAGACTCCACCCACCAGGGAGGCCCGCCCCACCCGGTCCCCACGCCCAAGGGCGCCCTTCCACCTACAGCGTCCGGGGCGGGGCCGAACCCCCGGACTCAGTCCGCTCCGCCCCCGAGCTCCATCCCACCCCGCCCCCGAGCCCTAGGCCCCGCCCCCGGACTCCAGTCTGTCCCGCCCCCCGAGCTCCGGGCCCCGCTCCCGGGCTCCAGTCCACCCCGCTCCCCCGGGCTCCATCCCGCCTCGCCCCGCGAGTTCCAAGCCCCGCCCCCGGGCCCCAGCCCGCCCCGCCCCGCCCCGCGCCCTAGCGCTCCCCGAGGGACCATCCCCGTGGCCTGCCACCACCGCAGCCCCGGGAACGGCGGAAAAGCCAGGACTTTGGAATCGAGCCGACCTAAGCCTGCCTGGCTTTGCTCCTACCTCGCTGTGCGACTTTGGTAAATTCTTTCCCCCACTTGACCCCATTTTCTGCTTTATGGGGATAGCGCCCCCGCCCTTGCAGGATTTTCGAGATGACCTGAAATGACATTGTGAAGCATCAGGCGCTCTAAAGTCCCCTCTTAGGGGCAGCTTGGACTTCCTAATCCCACCTCCAACATCGCCCGCAACCCTCCTCCAAGGCTGGATCGGACCCTCGTATTATTCACTCACATGGCCCACAGCTATAATTTCA